ACTGTGACAGCTATTCTGTGAATAATACTTTAGATGTTGAGCTGTGCATGCTAAAATACCCGAGGCACTGTTTCAACTTGACAGCTAAGATTTTATAGCTGGTGTGCACACATAAAGGGATAACAGCGGCCAACTACATGTAATCGTCAGTAATTTCAGACAGAATGATTCACAATTGTGTCAGGAGGCTGTTTTGACGTTTTGTTTTTAATGTATTGTAGATCTCTGATGTAGACACTCTGTCACCATGTCGTCAAAACTTTAGAAGTGTGATTTACCTGTCTCTGCAGTACATGTTGACAGATGATAACAGCTCATTCTACACCTGACTATACAAGTGACAAATGTTCTTTTTGTAAATGTTCAGCCAGGTGATTGTTAGAGTCCGGGTTATACTGTGCTCATTTATTATGGAGGGAGGTGTGCCTCAGAGAGCCCTGAGCTAAGCATTTCCTCCACTCTCATACAAGGCCGCAGCAAAAATCAAAAATGATAGATGGATAGAGATGCCCTGGCCAGCTCACTGTTGTTAACCAGCACACCAAAAAACTGTTTTGAGACAAAAATGCTTATTAGTTTTAGTTACATATTGGTCTTTTTTGTCCTCCATAGTTTTAGTTTACGAAAATTCAAAATGTTTTAGTTGATGAAAATTCATGACATTTTAGCCAACTTTTAGTCATTATGTTTTCTATGCCTTTTTTTTATCTTTAAACTAATACAGTTAGGCTAATTACAAATTTACAAACTGTAATTTCTCAATCAGTTTTTGACAGGTTTAACCCTTGGGGTCATAGGCCTTTTTGGGGTATTTTTTACTGCCTTTACTTTTAAGCTCATATCACAGTCATTATAAAGGCTACATACACATGCTATATCTATTTTTTTTCCCAGGACAATCTGGGCCACCCAGATTTGCCATCATTACATGTCCCTCTATGTTCCTGTATTTTATATTAATTTTTATATCAATGAAAAAAAAACAATCCATGTTACTAAATTCTTACATTTTTACATGTATCTCACCATAGCAAGTTGTTAGTCGACATATTCTGCCATATATGAAGAGGGGAGACTCTCTGGAATCTGACAATATAAGAACCATAATAGTGGGGCATTCTGTCACTTCACAGCTTTCCAAAACATGTGGTTTGTGCCAGGCAGACATAATTGCCAGCATTTTTTTCACTATTGCAAGAAATTCCATTGACTCATTCAAAAGTCAAAAATGTGTTATTTTTTTTAAAGAAACATGCAATATTTATATCTAAGATAATAGGAAAAATAGTAATAATATTATTCCTTACTATATGAAGTGACTGATAACAAGATCTGTATAATGGATTGTATAGAAATTTGTGAGGTTTTTATTTTGTAGACACTTGATCTGTATTTACAGCATGATGGGATGACAGCACAATGATGTGTTTGGTATCATCGGAAAGCTCCGGTTCTGCGCTTTCAAGGCTTTGTTATACATAATTTTAGTGTAAATAACCACAAATAACTTATATCCAGGTTTACTGTAAACTCGACTCGATCTCACTGTTAAGAAGCAGAAAAATAATGTAATTAAAGCCTGAATTATTTCTTAATCTGCATCTGCATGTTAGTCTGGAGGTTTAAACTCATGTCCACTAACAGTCTGAACTCAGATTAGTTTTCTCTAACAGAGATGAAAGTTCTGTTCTAATCACCAACTCTGTTTACTTACAACACAGATGCAGTCACAGATAACTGAGCAGATAGGAGTATCTGCCTGTCAAACAGCATCAACCCATAGACCTCTCTGAGACCGTCCAGATTTTAGGGCGGTCCTGCAGGGATCAGCTGTGAAGTCCGGTGGCCAGTGGCTGCTCACTCCACTGCTGTTCAGCGACTGCTTACAAGTGGAGCTAACTGCTAACAGCCATAACTGCAACTTCCAAACTCCAGAAATCCAATCAGCAGCTCCATCATCCACAGTCAGACACATATGGCTGATTATTTACCACTGAATTACAGCTCACAACTCTCACCAACTACGTATGCTGCACCGCTATGAGTGTTTTTGCTGGCCAGCAAAACATCCTGGTGCAAACTATTTACTGGAGGTTCCAGCCTGTTGCTTATGCAGCCCTTGAATATAATTGCAAGCACAGCCGTTCTCGGCTTTCAGTGTCTGATAGTCCACCACTGACATTTAAGTCACATCTTGTCTTGTCAACGAAAATAGAATATAGATTTTGTTTTAGTTTTTATTATCAAGGTCTATTTTTAGCTAGGATTGTCTCATTTTTGTCATGGAGAAAAGGTAATTGACAAATAATCTCATTATAGTTCTTGTCAATGAAATTAACTTTGGTACAGAAAATACATGCCAAATCTGTCATTTGATAAGTAGTAGAAAGCAAATGCATTTAATCAAGTATTGTACTTAAGTACAATTTTGAGGTGTTTGTACTTCACTTGAGTATATTTGTTTTCTGCTACTTTGTACTGTAATTCATTACATCTTATAAGCAAAAATCATATTTTTTACTCCATTATTTATTTGATAGCATTAGTTTCTGGTTACTTTGCAAATCAAGATTTTACTTTTAAAACATATGATTAACTTATATGATGGATTCAAGTACCCAGCAGTACAGAAAATAATTCATATTAGCTATTACCTTTAACAAAGTACTTTTACTGAGAGATATTGCTACTTTTACACATATACATAAACTGCATTTAAGGAGTTATCTGTGCACCAAAAATCAATCCTTATACTTTATCAAGTAAAAATCAGAACCATGTCATTTACAAAGAACAAAGAACAGATCATTTTCTCACAAAATTAAATGTTTTTTTATTTGCCTTCCCCCAAAATTCTTTCCTTGAGCAGGGAAGCAACGCGATGTTTTTGCAATGAAAGACATTAGGAGTATGGAAAAAAAAAAACAGTAATATAAAATAAAAACTGCCATGAACCAACCACAGATTGGCAGTATACAGTTGATAACACTGATTTTAACAAACATTACCTATCATAAGATTGTGCTATGACCAGTGGTGTGGCAGATAACTGCCAGCCTTGTTTTTTTTTTTTTTTTGCTTTTTTTTTTGACTGGAGGCTTTTTATTGAGGTGAGAAAATTCCAGGGCAGACACCAAAAACATGTATTAACATACCACCGCAAAGCCAAGGTTAGCGAACCCGGACTTACTCACTTATTACCTCTAACTACCCCTTTGGAAATTTCATCTATAACATTTGGCACACAGACCTCTAATAACAAGCGGCTAACAACCAGTAATTATGGGGGCTTGAACAGGAGATTTACAAACCTTACGTCCAGCAGCAATGGACAAGTTCCCTTTGCTTGAAAATGGTTATTCCATCAAAGGCATGGTGAGCTGCGTGATAAAATCTTGTGATTTATTCCCGGCGGCCAATAATTATTGGTGTCTCATCACCTGTCAAAAATGAGTGGACAGGGAGAGTCCAAGGCTCTAGTCTTCATGCTCTTTACACCACAGCAGTAAATCTGACATGTTTGTAAAGCCATAAATCACAGCTTGCAATAAAGCCTACACACCCCTTGGAACTGTACGGTATAGGCAGAACATTTGAAATGAGAAAAGTTTTAGCCATAAAGGTATGCAGAAAATCATCAGGGTTATTTCAAGGGTGTGGTAGGTACAGTGGTTTAAGTGGTTATGATCTCATCTGCAATGTACACAATGTTTTTATAAGAAAAAGAAAACTGAATCGTAGACTGTTCAGATGTCATTTTACAGGTAAGAATTAGAGCTCATTGACTACCATTTAAAAATAATAGTGCTTCTGCTCTTCAAACTAATAAAAGCAGATTTTAGTGGATTTTATTGTTAAGTTAGATTTGATAGAATATGAGACATCAGAACAGGGTGGAATGTGACATTGACTTATGAATGGCTTTAGGGGCCAGGTCTTAAAGTTTAAAAGGAAAAAAATTATCTTTACAAATATTATAGAAAATCCTCCACAAATAATTAAAATATGTTCATTCTGCACTGACTCTACAGCAAAGCAAACTATGAACACTTCAGGAGGTACTATATAACTTTATAAACAGTAAATGATCCAAGCCCAATCCATGCTGATCTCCCACACACAACAGTAAACAGGCCAGACTAAACATTCCCACCTTAAATCAATCAAAAGCTGAAACTCTGGGCTGCAATTGTTTTAAAGGTTGGTGTCTCAGAGCCACAACACGTACAATAAAAAGAAGAGGAAGGAAGCAATGCTTCTCAACGACTTCCAGTTGGCCCTCAGTCTACCAAAAGGGTAGACTGAGGGCCTACCCTTTGGTTATCAGATGCTTTGCACTTGTCCAGAAGCCCCTTTTCCACTCTTTAGAGCCACACCATTTTGTGTCAAGAGAAATAATATGTTTAAATAAAACACAAGAGAGATTCTGTATTTAGTAGGCCGATGTTTAGAAAATGACATGTAACTCATCACATTGCGTGGTAAGTAATACCAACTATTTCTAAAATATCTTAGTATTGCAAAAATCTTGGTTTCATCAAAATGTAACCACATTTTCACTAGCAAAAGATCATGAACGATCAATAGCCTAACCAGCAGCAATTGCAGGTTCTAATTGTAAAATATTTGCCCTTGTTTTCCCTCTCTTTGAAGTCTAAGGCTTGCTCTACTCTTGTCCTCAGGTGCTGCTCAGGCCTGATTTATGGGGATGGGTTCCAGGGAAGTTACTCTAAATTACATGGTTCTTAAACCTGAGCAGAGAGAGACACAGAGAGAGAGAATCACCACTCTAGAGACAACTAATTGTAAAACAAATCTACCCTATGCTAGTTAAGAAAGGTTCTCTCTTCCCAGACCTGAGAGAAGGGGAATAATGTATTAGGCCACTTGGATAAATGTACAATTTGTCATAAATACTCCTGAGACTAATATTTATGGAATACCTATTTTGATGAATTTCCTTGCATTGCTTATGATGGTAAAAAGTAAATGGCACACATAGTACTGTGAAGAGAAAGAAATAACCATGGCATTATGCAGTGTTATAATGACCAGAGTTGGATCAAGTGATCAGCAGTAACCTTGCTCTTCAGCACTTTGCAGCTTCATGGAAAGTCTCCAGTAAAAACATATAACTGGAGTTGGGATTATAGGGGGAAAAAACTGGAATCAAATCCACTGTAAAGGTGTAAAAGGAAGTGTGAAGTTAATTTCTTTCCAAATAATTGTTATGTTTTACATATGTGTGGAGGAGAGAAATTGTTATATGTTATGTTATATGTTATATGTCATATGTTCACATGAAGTGTTGAAACTCCTGTAAGAGATGTGAGGGAGAGTCAGAGCAGGAGGAGGTGACAGTGCAATTTGCCTGGAGGGCACCCATAAACCTGGAGTGGAAGAGAGAGTGCACCACTCCTTACAAGTTACTGTACCACGTGACTTTGAGAGCTTTAAAAAGCGGGCTGACCTGTGTTTTAGAGGTACAAGTAATCACAAGACACCAGAGGAGTTAGAGGAGAAGAATACCTGGGCTGTCGGCACAGCATCAAATACCGACAGTCCCGCAAAACAAGGGACAAAACACGCACCCAGGGAGCGTGTCGAGTTATTCGCAGACACACCATCTTCCAAGTAGGAAGATTTTGCTTACGCTCGTTCAGTGTCCACGTCATTGACACAATGAGCTGCAGCAGTGTTGCAGGATCAGAATTCTCTGAGGAAGAGCTGGAGCTTGGTGTGCTGGACCAAGAGGAGGAAAGTCCCAAGGCATCTTTCCAAGATAGTGAAAGCTCAACCAGCAGTCCAAGTGACCCAAATGAAGGCCAGACCAAGAAGCGCAATCGACCCGTCCGCTCAAAAGCTCGAAGAATGGCTGCAAATGTCCGTGAGCGAAAACGCATAATGGACTACAACCAGGCATTTAATGCTCTACGTGTTACTTTAAATCATGACCTGAGTGGCAAACGGCTCTCCAAGATCGCAACACTGCAGAGGGCCATCAACCGCATATCTGCTCTCTCAGTTTTTTTGAGCTCCAATCCTCCCAGCAAGCCCTGCGCTCACTGGGAGTGCAACAGGTCATCTCTGGGGCCAGCTGCAGCAGGAGCATCTCAGCTTGAACAGCGCAGGGTAACAGTTTCTTGTCTGCAGCATCGAAGTTACGTCCCCTGGCACGCGTCCCTCTCTCACCATATGCAGCCACAACAAGGGCCTCATATGCACAAGGTGTCCACAGAGCCACACATCAACATGGATAACACTGTGTCATCATGTCCTCCGTCACCACACTACCCTTGTTATCCCACTGAGGGACAGCTGTATGCCTCATACCGACACTGTGGCAGCCCCAACGACCATCCGCCCAGCCCTCTACGATACCCTCAGGTGGGTGAGGGGTTGGGGTACCAGCCAGGGATGTGGGCATCCTGCACTCAGAAATACATGGACACTTTGATGGAGCCTCCTCCAGCTCTGGGGATACCCTGGCAGGTGAGCTACCTGCAAGAGCCAGAGCACAGCCTCTCTCTGGGCTCTGACATATTGTAATGGGTTAGATTCACCACTGTGAATCCTCAAGACTGCTTGGAACACCACTGGACTGTTGAATAATCTCAGAAAGAAAGGGTTTTTATGTTTCTACTGTTGGAATCAACTCAGTATTGCAGTAACATTCTCTTATTTTTGAGCAAAGTCATGATAAAGTAATAAACAGATACAGATAAAAGTGCAATGGCAATCAACACTGCAGAGTGTGCTACCTAGCTGGAAATGTATTTTGATGTTACATTTTAAAATATTAATGTTTCTCTGTCTGCTTGTTGATAATTCACCCACATAGTTATGTTCTACTTGTTTAGTTGTCATTGTTTGGCATTATGTATAATTATTGAGCTGGAATATTGGAGCTTATTTTACACTACTAAATGTGTACTATATGAAACATAAATACTTGTAGCCGAGTAAGGGCATAAAGAGCAATTATTGGACTGATCATAAAAGACAGGGCAGTTTACATATGTGCTACACTGTGATGCAACTTGTCCTTACATTACGTTTTCTTTCAGCTATTTCTACCATCTTGTGACTAAGATTTGAACCCAAAGCATATGTATTTATTTTCTTATTGCATACAAAGTCATTGCTCTTTGTAAAGTTGTAAGAAGTTTGTACATATGTTTTTAAACTTCAAAATTAAATGTTAATATGATATGATTATTGTAATGTGTCCTTTCATAACATTGTTAGTTGTGATTGCCTTGGAGTCTTTGGACTATCATATAGCACTAACACAATGTTTTGCTTTACAGATATGTGTGGCTGCATGTCCATATGTGTATGCATGTCTGTTTGTGTGCTTGTGATTATAGCCTAGGGTCGGAAGCCTCTTCCACTCTTAGTCTGAGATGACAGAGGTCCTTCACTCAGTTGAAAAATATCCTTACAAGTCCATTCTTGTCATTTTTTTTTTTGTGGGAGAAGAAAAGTCAAGGTGCTATTTACACATAGCAAAATAAAAGTGTGGGTCAACAGGGAGAAAGACAACACTGACAGTGTAAGCGTGTTAACCAGAAAATCGATAAGCAATGCGGAGAAAGTGCATGACCTGCATCTTGTACTAAAAGCCTTTCTGGAATATTTTACCACCTACACAGGGGTACATTGCATTAAAAACCATTCCTCTACAGCAACAGCAGGTGAGATCATTACCAGTAATAGGTCGGTTGGTTGATGTGCAGCTCAAGATGAGTAAATTCTAACAACAATTTTTCCTCCGGGCCTTACCAGCTCATGTTAGTCAACAACAGCACCCTCCTCCCATGCTAAGCAGCATGTCATGGAAAATAGCTTTAATATTAGACTATAGGACAGGGGCCACCGACAGATTTATGTGGGCTCAGGAAGGAAGACTATGCCCCGTCATCAGTGTGGTAAAATCCCCTGTCGGGCTGCATTGGCCCGCAGGTGGAAATGGGTGTGTGAGTGTTTTTTGAACATCCTGGAGGTCTCCCAACAAGGGCCCCTAGATGCTGCTGAAAAGACTTGGCCCGGGGAAAACTACTGCAGGCTTGCTGGAGAAATAAATGGTGTGGTACAACAATTAGCAGGCAGCAAAGAAAGAGAATATGGACAAAAAGATGAATGGAGAGGAGGAGTGAAATGATAGGAGGAGGATATATGGTAAGAAAAAGGATAACTACACTTTGAGCCCTTCATTCAGCTTCTTTACAGACATGAATCATTAGAAAACTTGACTCACCAGTGAAAGACGAGTGTGGCTGACAGCACCCTGTGACAGCATGTCTCTTTCTCCTCCCTCTCTGGCAGACACATCTCAGCTCACAGTGCCAGTATATCGGCATGTCTGGGTCCTCAAGGGACTCCAGAGTGAAGTGGGCTGAATGTATCATGTCATTCTACTGAGACCACCTTTGTTTCTAGTTCTATCCCTGGTTTACTTTAAAGAAAGAAACGTAAACTTTGAATCAAGTAAATCAGATAGCAAAAAGCCTGACTCTTTGTTTTCTTAGAAAAAAAGTTAGCAACTACAGAATTTTTACTGTCTCAACATTGTCACATGTCACATCTAATTAACTGGTTAACTCTTCTGATAGAAAAATGAAGGATTGGCTGCTTTGTTTTCTAATATGTGTTCAAGAGAATATCTTTGTGATTCTGGACTGTTGGTCAGAAGATATCTTTTTATGACACCATGATGGACATTTTTCATTATTATTGATTCATCCAATAATCAGGAAAATATGTGAAAATATGTGATCATGAAAATAATCATCAATTGCAACCTCTCTGAAATGTATGAATCAGAACATATGTTGACTGTGTTGACCAACACAGGCAGAATCCACAACTTTGTGCAGTCTCTGTGCATGACAGCGCTTTAACGAGTCAGCTCTCATGTTGAATTGTGACTCACCTGAGGATTTACTTTACTCCTCCGATATGTGATATGAGCCTGTCAGTGATGCATCTTTTCTGCAGACTATCCTGCCTCCTTGACACCCTCTGCTGCCAAGCTGATGGAAAAAGAAAACAAGTAAACATAATAGGAATGATTCCAACACACCAGGGTGTGTTTGCGTGATTTATCGGGATGAGTCAGTCACACACACACACACACACACATGCAATGCTGTTATGACATCATTTGCGAAGGTGACAGTAGTGATGGTGCCAGAGGACATGATGTGACAGACTTTTTACAAACAACCACATTAAACCTGAATTATTACTTCCTGTCTGAGATACAACTGTGGCAGGACTTTAAATTAAGTTAAACATCTGTTAAGGCACCCAGTGAGGTTTATTAAAAAAAAGTAAAAACAATGCTTAGATTATACTTTTGAGTTGAAGTCACGTAGCAAATCTATGCAAAATCGCATATCAGTTTATGAAAACTACAACTTGTCAAAACAAAACAAAACCATTACCGTGTCATCAGAATATGTTTCCACTGAAAGTTACTAATTAGATCAGTGACCCAATCACTGATGAGTTTTTAGGGGGTGATGGCACTGAATTACATCCACATAGTTAATTTATAAGTAAAAGCAATACTGATTCAGAACGATAAGCGACTAGTTGGTCTTAGCTATAGAGTCACAGTTTAGTAGTAATGCACGGCCAGGATTTTTATTAAAACCTGACCAACCCAGCCCATTATGACAGCCGCCCTGAACCTTAACCCGACCCGCAAACCTATAAACCAGAGCTCAAAGTTTCTGGTGTTTTTTTCTGCCTTTTTAACAGATGAGACAAGATGCAGCTTGTTTTATTGATTTGTTTGGATTCACAGAGCAGTATGTTTTACTACTGAACACTAGATGGAGACAATACAACAGACTGCTGCATGTTGAACCAGTGAATAAATCAGGGACCTGGGCTCCATAGATGATCAGTCAATAACTGATGGCAAGATTATAGTCTTGAGTATAACCTGCAAACACATAAAAGACTCAAGACAATTTATTTCGCAGTCTATTATTAAGATGTGACAGTTGTGCGGGGGATCTCATAATTATTAATATCAAACAGCAACAGTATGCACACAGTATCAGTGTTATGTAAGTGTTATGTGGGAGACCGGATGGCAGCGTGAGACCGCGAGACCACTGTGAGATTTTGAGATTCAACATGGCGGCACCTAGCTGCTAGATTAGATATCAACAAACTAGCCAAACAAATATAATTATCTAACGGGTGACAACTCCAGCCTGCACCATCAGCCAGAGTGGAGGACCTAGAAGAGTTTATCGATCACTACTACTACGAGTGCGTCATGGAGGGTCCTGCCGACAACCCCAATAAGAGGAAGAAGACCGACTCCGCTACCGATACACAAGACTTATTATCCTCCGAATTTAGCGTCTTGGAATCCATCAACAAGAAGCTAGAAGTGCTCGGTATGCTCCACCAGGAGATAAAAGACCTGAAGGTAAGCTTGGAGTT